AAATTCAGGCTGGCTTTATGATGCCAATCATCACCAGCTCTATTGAATTATTCATCCTGCAAGATGAATGATTAATTTCTAACTTTCTACAGCAAATGCCAGGCAGCCAGATAGAAATGGAGTTGGAACCCTAAGCATGGAGCCATAGACTCCCAGATCCACCAAAGCACAGGCCATCAGGGTCAAGAAATTATTCAGGAATCTACAAGGGGTTCACCCTGCAATGCACTTGACAGAGGGTGAAGCTGGAACAAGATTAAGTTGCCCTTGACATGGCTGGGGTGCACTCTCTTCTTGTTTTCCTGAGCCTGCACTGTATACCCAGAGAGCCCTCAAGCAGCATTTGTGGAGTGACTTGGATCTGAATCGGAGCCAAGAATCCAACTGACTCCGGGTCAGCCTAACAGGGTTTCTCTGCATTGGCTCTATGGCCATTTTGGCCTGGATAATTCTTCGCTGTGGTGGACTGTTCTGTGCATTGTAGAATGCCGTACAGCATTTCTGGCTTCTACCCACTAGACAATGCAAGTAGCACAGATCTCCTCCATCCCTTGGGCCCTGTTATCACAACCAAAAATAACGTCTAAACATTATCAGATGGAGCCCTGGAGAGCAAAATCGCTCCTGCTGGAGACCACTGCATGAGACCACCGAAATGAGATCAGAGGGGGGAAGCTTATTCGGGGTGTCTCTACCCTGGGACTTATTATTATTATTATTACACGAGCAATGTTTCTCTTTTAGGTTTAAGTTCAAGTCTTGCTTAGAATCGCGTTAAGCTGCAGGTAGCAGACCATCTACCCTAATTGATCCGAACAGTGAAAGACACTGATTGGCTCACATAACTGAAGATCCAGAAGTAGGTTGAGCTTCAGGTTTGGTTGATCAGTGACTCACCCATGTCCTCGGGGGCCATTTCTGTCTTCTTGCTCTGCCATCTGTAGCAAGAGATTCTACTAAGACTGGTTCCCCTTGGGGGCCCTAGGATGACCTCCAGCAGTGGTTGGTATCGTAGGCTTCCTTTTTTCCTCACCAGTGGCAGAAAGAATACATCTGCTCCAGCATTCCAAGTCAGAGTCTTGACTGTGAGTCAGCCTGGCTAGGCCTCTGAAGTCGCACGCATGCTCCAGTATTAGTATGTACATCCATGGAATGCATGCGCTCACTGGTCCCAACTTCGGAACTTGGGATGGAATTGCATCCCCCAGTAGATGAGCACTTGTGGGAACCATTGACTATTCGTTGTACCTGAGGGGAGGAATAGTCTCTGTTGAATAGCTGGGCCTGTCACTTGACACAGGGGCCACTGGGAGCTGGGAAGATCAGTGTCATCCAGCCAGAGGTGCTGGAAACAGCGGAGGGCTGGTTTCCCAATCTCAAAATAGAAAAGCTGCTACCAGAGAAAGGAGGCATGGGTCCTGGGCAGCTAAGAACAAAGCCGACACTGCGTGGGGGCAAGAGAGGGCCATTGTGGGGACGTGATAGAAGATTGTAGAGTGGGTCAGACACCTCTGATGTGCTTGTGGTCACCTTTTACTCCAACCAGTGATAGGTGCTCGCAGGTGCACTGGGACAGGGCTTCATTTCTCTGATGTCGTGCCCTGGGGCTGTGGGGTATCTGCCAGGCTCCCGCTTGGTCACGTGCAACTGAGACGGGTGGAGTGTTAATGCTCCATGAGGCAGCCCTTGGTCCATGGGGCTGCCGTCTGATGGATAAACGCTTCTCCTCTTATTCCCCAGACCGGACGTTCCCAAGAGGTATTTCCTAAGGCATCTCAGAAGATTTCGAGGGATGGAGCCGCCAGTCACCCAAATCAAGGCCACTCAGGTATCCATCCTTATCCCCAGCTGTTGCTCTCTGCCTGTCTTTCATGCCTGCTCCCTGGGGCCACTTCCTAAATAAACGACTCACACAGAAGCATTTAGGTCAGACTCTGCTTTTGGAGCAAACAGATTCAGTCAAAGATTTTAGCAAGTTTAAAGATTAGATTTGTCTATATACTTTGAGACAGCAAGTTACAAAAATAAATACAAGGAGGTTTTGTATTTTTTAAGATTTATTTATTTATTTGAAGGGCAGAGTTACAGAGAGGCAGAGGCAGAGAGAGAAGAGAAGTCTTCCATCCTATAGTTCACTTCCCAGATGGTTGCAATGGCCAGAGCTGCGCCTATCCAAAGCCAGGAGCCTCCTCCAGGTCTCCTACGAGGGAGCAGGGGCCCAAGGACTTGAGCTGTCCTCCACTGCTCTCCCAGGCCACAGAAGAGAACTGGATCAGAAGTGGAGCAGCCAGGACTCGAACCGGCGCCCACATGGGATGCCGGCACTGCAGGTGGCAGCCTTACCTGTAATGCCACAGCCCCGGCCCAGGTTTTGTGTCTTTAAATTGCCTCCCTGTCTGCTGATCAGGGATTCTACTCAGGGGACTCTGGACGCAGGCTGAAAGTCAAGATTCTGGAATCTCAGCAAGGCCCAGGCCTTTGCTGGCAGGAGGCAGCAGCCTGCCAGCTGCTGTGCCCGGAGTGGGCAGGCTGGTGGCAGGAGTGTCCCAAGATGAGCCGGTGCCCAGAGAAGCTGTCAGGGGCTGCCTGCAGGCCCTGAGGACTTTATCAAGATGTCACCAGCCACACAAGGAAGGCTGCTGTGCCACCAGTGACTCGGATGAGGGACCGGGACACTGACATGTTCCCCATGCCACTTGAGCCATGAGTGCTTGCCTGGGGTGATTTGCCAGTGACGAGGCACTTTGCAGAGTGCCGAGAGGAAGCTGGGGAACAGGCTGTCACCTTGACTGTGGCAGCTGACCGCAGACATACAAGGATGCTTCAGAAAGTTATTTAAAAAAAAAAAAAAAAGGAATGAAAAGATAAGTTTATTTGGGTGCAAAAATTATTGAAATCCACACACATGAAGAGTCTTCAAAACTCTCATGGAAATGCATACGATGAAAAAACTTCATGGATTTCAGCATTTTTGCAGCAAAGTGAACTTATCTTTTGATTCCATCTTTCGTGAACTTGTTGAGGTCACTTCCTATGTCACAATGCCTCTCCACTTCCTGCTCTCCTGGGGCTGTTTCCTTTGCCAAGGGCCCCTGACAATCACTTACACTGTTCAAATGAGGCTCTCATGACTGCAGCCCTCTGGTGCCTGCCCAGCTACCTACTGTGCCCCCTCTCCGTGGAGGGCCTTAGGCTACCTCTCATAGGCTCAAACCTTGCACCTGGGTGATGGCCAGCAAGGCCAGTGCTCCCAACACTTGTTGCTTTTCGACAATCCCCCTGCTCCCTAGCAGTAAACCACAGCGTGTTAGCCGGGCGGAAAGGCAGCCAGTTAATACATATTTGGCAATATCTCGGTCTGTGATCAGGCATACCTGGGAAATTTAGGGCAGGGCAGAATGGTTACTGATTAGCTCCCATTTAGTATTTTTCAGTGGCTCCTAATGGCTGCTCAATGCCCCACTGGGGGGTATTCAAGTCTCTTCATTCCACTTTGTTGGGGCCGGCGCCCTGTTATAGCAGGTAAGGCCACTGCCTTCAGTGCTGGCATCCCGTATGGGCCCTGGCTGTTCCTCTTCTGATCCAGCTCTCTGTTGTGGCCTGGGAAAGCAGTAGACGATGGCCCAAGTCCTTGGGACCCTGCACTCGTGTGGGAAACCCGAAAGAAGCTTCTGGCTTTGGATTGGCACAGCTCCAGCCATTGCAGCCATTTGGGATGTGAACCACCGAACGGAAGACCTCTCTCTCTCTCTCACTGTTCACTCCATCCACTGGTTCACTCCCCAGTTGGCTGCAACAGAGAGCTGGATTGGAAGTGGAGCAGTGGGTACTAGAACCAGTGCCCATGTGGACTGCTGGCGCCACAGGCGGAGGATTTAACCTACTGCGCCACGGCGCCGGCCCCTCTTGCTCCCTTTCTACCTGGCGCATGTACACTGAATCCTCTTTGAAGTCTCAGCTGAGTGTCACCTCCTCCAGAAAGTCTTCCTTACCTTCCCAAATCGACTCAGGTTCCTTCTGTACGTTCCCAAATTGCCTAAAATAAACCTTAGCACATTGCCTGTACTCATCTGTTTATGAGCTTGTGTCCTGCAGCAGGTGATAAATTCCTAGATACTCCAGTACCATTTCTAGTTCACTCAGCATGCCCTCAGGCTCATGCTCGGAGCCTGGCCCAGAGAAGGTACTCAGTAAGTATGAGTGTACTTTGAAGAGTATGTGGAAAAAAGGTAAATTTAACCTGGCACCAGAAAAAATCCCATGAAATCCATGCACAGTTTTTTTTTGTAACAGGCATTTTCCATGAACTTTTAAAAAATATGTTTATTTTTATTTATTTGAAAGACATAGTGACAGAGAGAGGTAGAGACAGAGAGAGAGGTCTTCCATCTGCTGGTTCACTCCACCTGAGCAGATCTGAAGTCAGGAATCAGGAGACTCTTCCAGGTCTCCCACGTAGGTGCAGGGGCCAAAGACTTGGGCCATCTTCCACTGCTTTCCCAGGCCACAGCAGAGAGCTAGATTGGAAGTGGAGCAGCCGGGACTAGAACTGACTCCCATATGGGATGCCAGCACTGCAGGCCAGGGCTTTAACCCGTAGTGCCACAGCACTGGCCCCTTCCATGAACTTTTTGAAGACTCCTTGTATTTGTTGAATAGATATTAGGAGGCTCCAAAGTATGTTATAATTTGAGTTGAGGGTATATACAGAATAAATTAAGTTTTAGGTTTTATATAATGTTTAAAAATGAAAAAATAATTGAAGAGAATACCATTATGTTCGTAGAATTATATCTACAAACCATATCGAATCTGTTAAAAACTAATTAAAAATTTTAAAATAACAAAATAAATAAAACCGAAAAATAATTTACTTGTTAACACGGTGAATTAATATTACCCAGTAATATTAATTTATCAAACCTATATTTGCATAGGCAAATATTTTAAAACTCACATAACCACACATTTTAAAAATATTATTAGAGCGGGAAGGGAATAAATATGCAACAATCTAATAACACCAGCACTGTGTGTTTTTTCCTTCAGCTCTTGCCTTTGGCAATTTTACTTTCCTACGTTGTGGCACGAGCTCCCCCACTGAATATTACAATATCCACATTTTTCATGTTGGAATCATGAGCTTTGGAGCTAAAAAGCACTTTAGAAAGGGTGCCATTCATCTGGTTTATTTTTAGAGATAAGAGAACTGAGGCCAGAACACTGGCCGGCTCCAAGTCTTCCACCAAGACGATAGTTCAAGCTGCTGAATTTCTTGACCTCGATGTCACTTTCCGGCCCCGTAACCTTTGAGATTTCCTTAGACGATTTTTCTACTCTGGGTTCTGAATAGGGAAACATTTTGAAATGACGATTATGAAGCACAGATGGATAAGTGCTGGATGGTCATACCATTATTTGTTAAGAGTTTAATGACATAAAAAATTTTATACTCCCGTGGAGCTCCCATATGCTGTTGATGGGAGGGTAAATTAAATTGGTACCACCACTCTGGACAACTTTTTGGGAGTATTTTCCAAAGCTAACATTTACTTACCCTATGCTCAGTAATTCCTTTCCTACAAATGTTCCCATAAAAATGAGCAGTTAGTGAGCTGGCATTGTGGCATAGCAGGTTAAGCTGCCTCCTGCAAAGCCGGCATCCCATATAACCGCCAGTTCCAGTCTGGGCTGCTCTACTGATCCAGCTCCCAGCTAATATACCTGGGAAGGCAGAGGAAGATGGCTCAAGTACTTGGGACCCTCCCACCCATGTGGGAGAGCCAGGTGGAGTTCAAGGCTCCTGTGTTTGGCCTGGGACAGCCCCGGCTGGCCATTGCAAGTCATTTGGGTAGTGAACTAGTGCATGGAAGATCTGTTTTTCCATCTCTCTCTGTCATTTTGCCTTTCAGATAAATAAATCTTTCAAAAGAAGAAGAAGGAGGAGGAGATGAAATGCTTAGGTCCAATAAGCAACATATACATGAATCTTCATAGCTTCCACATTCATAGCACCCAAAAATTGGGTACAATCAAAATATCCATCCATAATAGAATGGGTAAGTAAATGGAGGCTACTCATATAATAAACTACTGCCCAATAATGAACAACAATGAACCCCTACTACATGTCAAATCATGAATGAGTCTCACGGACATAAGAGTAAGTGAAAGTAGTAGTCAAATATGAAAGAGACTATATTGTATGATTCTTCCTATATATAAATATATATGTTTATATATAAATATGTATTCTCTTTATATATAAAATTTGAGATGGGACAAACTGCAGTGATACAAGAATAGAGAACAGGAGTTGACTTATTGGGGGAACAGTGGAGCTGTTAACATTGTGGGCTACTAACATTCTTTATCTTGGTGCATGTGGGTTGCAGGAACGTTTAGACACATAATGCGGCATCAGGCTGTACACTTAAGATGTGTGCCTTTTGTGCAGGAAGTAAAATGCTGAGCATGTATATTATGCTTTCTCAAACTGGTGCACTCTGGGTAACAACTGTGCTCTTTCTTATTGTGTGATGTCATTGAATTTCCTAGTTTGGATAAAGCACTATAGTTGCCTGAGACGCTCCCACTAGGGGAGGTTGAGTGATGGGTACACAGAACCACTCTGGACTATTTTTGCAATTCCTTGTGAGTCTATAATTATTTCAAAATACACATTTAAAAAAAACCCCGTATTCCTCTTTTTTCTCTTCATTAGAAATCTGGACAGCTAGGGAGGGGTTTTAGCTTAGAGGTTAAAATGCATGTGTTCCTCATAGGAGTATCTGGCTCTGGCTCCTGACGCTAACTTCCTGATAATGCGGACTCTGGGAGGCAGCGGTGATGGCTCAGTGAACTCAGGAGATCTAACGACTCCCTGCCTCTTAGCTTTGGTCCAACCCAGACCCAGCTGCTGTGGCCAAGGGGGGAGTAAGCCAGTAGATGGGAATTCTGTATATCCCTTTGTCTCTCTGCCTCTCAACTAATAATGATAAAGACAGCTTAAGCATCGTATTCTTTCAATCACTCTCCTTACTACCTTCAACCCAATGCATGAATTAAAAACATTCATTTTCTTTCCTAAATTGTTTCAAGCTCTTCCTTCCTTTCTCTCTCCCTCCGTCCTTCCTTCCCGTCTTCCCACACTCCCTCTCTTCCTTCCTTCTATCCACTTCCGCCCACATATATCCATCTCCCTCCGCCCTTTCCCATTTCTCTCTCTCTCTCTCTCTCTCTCTTTTTTTTTTTTAATTTGACAGATAGAGTTAGACAGTGAGACAGAGAGACAGAGAGAAAGGTCTTCCTTCCGTTGGTTCACCCCCCAAATGGCGGCTAGGATCGGAGCTACGCCAATCCGAAGCCAGGAGCCTGGTCTCCCATGCGGATGCAGGGCCCAAGCACTTGGGCCATCCTCCACTGCCTTCCTGGGCCACAGCGGAGAGCTGGACAGGAAGAGGAGCAACCGGGACTAGAACCCGGCACCCATATGGGATGCCGGTGCTGCAGGCAGAGGATTTAACTGAGTGAGCCACGGCACCAGCCCCGTCCCATTTCTCTTGAGAATCCTTGAATCTGGCCTCTACCTCTCCCGACCCCTCCAGACCACCCCAGCTCAGTGAACATCTTCTCCACAAGGACAAGCTCATAAGCTCCTTCTACCCCACACCTTGGTGCAGCCAAGAGCTGGAAAGTCCAGAGTTCTTAATTCCACTCTCCTCCCTGCTCCAAACCCAGGTGACCTCTGGACAGGCCTCTAATTTGTAAGTCTGGGTTTACCTGTTTGAAAAATGGGCTGAATAATAGTGGCCTCCCTCACCAGGGTGTTGGACTTTAATTACTGTTTGCGACATGGCTTAAGATGTGGAGATGAAAGGCTGTTTTAAAAGTCCAAGCTACTGGTTTTAGTAATAAAATGGAGGAATTTTGTTTGTATGTTTGCAAGGCTGTCATAACTGAGAAACGGAGGTGGGGGGGGTGTTTGATTTTTTTTTTTTTAATGTGGAAAAATCTTGCCCAAAAAACAGTCACAGATCCTGGTTGGTATAAATAGTAAGAACATGTTGTACCTAAAAGTACTAGCAAATTTCACATTCTTCCATGCCCCTGAAAAGAGAGAAGCCACACTTCCAAAACTGAAAACAAGGAGCCACCTGGGGTTTTCAGGCAGGGAATCCAGGGGCCAAATTTTGGCTGAGCCCATTCCCAGTTTGCTTCACAATTTGCAAGAAAAATGCAGTTAAATCACAGGGTTTATTTTGACTGTCAATGCTTGGCTTTTAATTTGTGCATTCCGGTCACATTTCTACCAACATCATAGTTAACAAGGACTTTTAAGAAACTTACCCTTCTGGGGCAAGTGTTTGGCCTAGAAGTTAAGTCCCCAGCGAAGAGGGTATGTAACAAATCGGGGTGCCACAGGTTCGACTCCCAGCTTCTGATTCCAGCTGCCTGCCAGTGCAGACCCCAGGAGCCCACAGGTGATGGCTCAAGTAGTTTGGTTCCTGTAATCCGTGTGGGAGGCTTGAGTTGAGTTCCTTGCCTTTTGTGGGCATTTAGGAAGTAAACCAGCACATAGGAGCTCTGTCTTTCTTGCCTCTCAAAGTAAAAAAAATAAATAAATAAAAATTAAAAAAAATAAAATATTTTTTAGCACTTCAGAAAAGAGAGATTAGAATAAAATTAAGTGCCCAGGTTCCCAAAGCATTTACCATCAAACCTGAAGATAAATAGGAGCGAGTGACCTATATTTAGAATTTACTTCATGGTGCCCTGTTATTAATAATAACTGCCCCCTTTGGAGTGTCCACAGCCCTTTGAAATACATTACTTCATTTGATCCACCGACAATGCTGGAATTACAAGCTCAGGTTTAAGAGCGAGGAAACTAAAGTTCAGACAGAAGTGGCTTTTCTATAGCCACATAGCCTGCAAGCAATGACGTTCAGGCTTCTACTTAGTCTTGGGAAATGGAATGGTGTAGGCCAGGGGAATCTAGCGCAGTGATGTAGGGTTCTTGCCACTGATCTGTCACACCTGGTAGTGATTCAAAGGAGAGCCGCCCCAGGTTCAAGGCTAGTCTAGGCCAAAAGACCAAAGACCAATGCTGTAAGACATCTAATCAGAGAGGAGGAATAGTGTGGAGGGCATGGGAGTGGCCCTTGTTGTTCCTGGCTCTGGATACTATGTGGAATGGGGCATATTATTATTAACTTCAGTTTCCCCATCTGTGTGTGTGTGTCTGTGTGTGTAAGATTTATTTATTTATTTGAAAGGCAAAGTTATAGGGAGTGAGGGAGAGATAGCGAGATCTCCTATTTGTTGGTTCACTCCCCAGATGGCTGCAATGGCTGGGGTCTGGACCAAGGGCTAGGAACTCTATCCTGGTTTCCCATGAGGGTGCCAGGGGCCCAAGGACTTGGACCATCTTATGTTGCCTTCCCAGGTGCGTCAGCAGGGAGTTGGATCGGAATTGGAGCAACCGAGACTCAAACTGATGCTCACATGGGATGCTGGTGTTGTAGGTGGGGTTTAACCTACTGAAGTACAAACGTCAGTGTCTGTTGAGTTTTTCTTTCATTTTGTTTTCTTTTTTTTTTTAAATATTATTTATTTATTTGAAAGGAAGAGTGAGAGAGAGAGAGAGAGAGAGAGAGAGAGAGATCTTCAATCTGCTAGTTCGCTCCCCAAATGGCCATAACTGTCAGGTCTGGGCCAGGCTGAAGCCAGGAGCCAGGAACTCCCTGCTTGTCTCCCACATGTTGGCAGGGACTCAAGTACTGGGGCCATCATTTGTTGCTTCTCAGGCAAACTAGCAGGAAGCTGGATTGGAAGTGGAGCAGCCAGGACTCAAATTGATGTGCATATGGGATGCTGGCATTACATGTGGTGGCTTAACAAGTTGTGTTACAGTCAGCTATACTGTCAAGTTTTCAGAGTTCTTTATCAGATATATATTTGACAAATATTTGCTTCCAATCTGTAGTTTGTTTTTTTCATTTTTTTCAAGGAGTCTTTCATAGAGCGTAGTTTCAAGTTTTGTTATGGTTCAATTTTTTCTTTTTTAGGTTGTGCTTTTAGTGTTAAGTCTAAAAATTTTTGCTTAGCTCTATATCTCAAAGATTCTCTCTCTCTCTCATAGTTTTATGCTTCACACTTAAGTCCTAAATCCATTTTGAGTTCATCTTTGTGCCTGGTTCAGGTTCTTTATTTTTATTTTTTGCTTATGGTTGTCCATTTGCCCCAGCACCATTCTTTGTTTTCCCTCTGTTGAATTCCTTTTGCACCTTTGTCAAAAATCGGTTGGAGGATGGGTGTCACGGCACACAGTGTGAAGCTGCTACTTGGGATACCTGGATTCCACATCTGAGTGCCAGTGTGAGTCCCAGCTACTCCCCTTGAGGTCATTTTCCTGCTGACCATCCTGGGAGGCAGTGGATGATGGCTCAGCTACTTGAGTCCCTACCACCCACATGGGAGCTCTAAGTGGAGTGCCTGGCTCCTGGCTTCAACCTGACACTGCCCTGGCTGTTGTGTGTTGTGGTCATTTGGGGAGTGACACATTGGATGGAAAATCTCTCTCTCGCTCTCTCTTCACCTTTCAAATAAATAAATCTTTTACAAAAATAAGTTGGGAGACTGGCATTGTGGCACAGTGAGCTGGTTACACTGCCTGTGAGACTGGCATCCCGTATGAGCACCAGTTTGAGTCCAGGCTGCTCAGTCTCTAGTCCAACTCCTTGCTAATGCACCTGAGAAGGCTACTGATCATGGTCCAAATACTTGGGCCCTTGCCACCCACATGGGAGACCCAGAAGGAGTTCCTGGCTCCTGGTTTCGGACTGGCTCACCTCTGACAGTTGCAATCATTTGGGGAGTGGGAGAGATGGATGGTTTTTCTCTTTCTCTCCATCTGTGTCACTCTGTTTTTCAAATAAATAAGCCTTTAAAAAAACCAGCTGGGCATTGTATGTGGATCTACTTCTGAGCCAAAAATGTAAAGGAATTTTGACTCAAATACTGAACTGAGGTGAACAAATGATAAGAAGTCAATCCATACAGAGACTGAATGAAGAGTATCATGTGAAACATTTATCAAGCAATCTAATTAATGCCATAATAATTAAGTATGAAACTGCAAGAAATTGACTATGAATTACCTGATCATTCAAACATAGGCTTAAAGAAATGGTTGGGGGGTTGGCGCTGTGGCGCAGCAGGTTAATGCCCTGGCCTGAAGCGCCGGCATCCCATATGGGTGTCAGTTCGAGTCCTGGCTGCTTCACTTCCAATCCAGCTCTCTGCTATGGCCTGGGAAAGCAGTAGAAGATGGCCCAACTCCTTGGGCCCCTGCACCCATGTGGGAGACCTAGAAGAAGCTCCTGGCTCCTGGCTTTGGATCAGCGCAGCTCTGACCATTGCGGCCAAATGTGGAGTGAACCAGCGGATAGAAGACCTCTTTCTCTCTCTGCCTCTCCTTTCTCTGTGTAACTCTGAATTTCAAATAAATAAATAAATCTTAAAAAAGAAAAAAAGAAATGGTTGGAACCCACAGGGTATATTGAAATAGACCAGACTGTGGGGCCAGGAGGATCTGCAATCAGACTGCGATTCCACCATTTATCACCTGACTGACACTGCACAGGTAAGTAAGGTTATTAGCCTCTTCAAGCCTCACCTTCTCCATCATTCACTGGAGATCATATTCCTGGCTTCATAGGATTAGTTTGTGGATCAATGAGATGGGAACCTGCAAAAATGGTTTGGCGCCAAGCTTCTTCTACAGTAGCTACAGCAAGGGTAGACCCAAGCAATGGTTTGAAAGTTTTTTTCCCATTTGTCTATCGGCCCCTCCCAAGTATCCAGAGCAAACATCCACTTTCAGTAAAAGGTACATGTGTGGGAGGTAGACATTTGGTGCAGTGATTAATGTGACACTTGAGACACCATACGCCTGGGTTCGAGTCCTGCCTCTACTTCTATTCCAGCTTCTATTCCAGCTAACGTGCACCCTGGGAGACAGCAGGTGATGGCTCAATATTTGAGTCCCTGCTGCCCATATGGGAGACTTGGATGGAGTTCTAGAATTCTGGCTTGAACCTGACTCAGCCCTGGCTATTGTGGGCATTTGGGGAGTGAACCAGCAGATGGAAGATCTGTCTCTGCCTCTCTTAAATAAAATGAAAATAAATTTTAAAAATCTATTTAAAACGCATTTGCTAGTCAAATATGACTTACACACATAGCTTCAAGCTAGTTCCCCAATCCTTTCTTCCAACCAAGCTAATGCTTTTTTTTTTTTTAATAAAAATTAATTTATTTTGGGGCCAGCATCCCATATGGGCGTGGGTTCATGTCCTGGCTGCTCTTCTTCTTATCCATCTCTCTGCTTACGGCCTGGGAAAGCAGTGGAAAATGGCCCAAGTGCTTGAGTTCCAGAACCCAATTGGGAGACCCGGAAGAAGCTCCTGACTCCTGGCTTTGGATTGGCCCACTTCTGGCTGTTGTGGCCATTTGGGGAATGAAACAGTGGATGGAAGATCTTTCTCTCTATCTCTCCTTCCCTCTGTCTGTAATGCTGTCTCGTATAAATAAATAAAATCTTTAAAAATGTATTTAATTTATTTACTTTTTAAAGATTCACTTATTTATTCGAAAGGCAGAGCTATACCGAAAAAGAGAGAGATATATTCCATCTGCTGGTTTCTCCATGAATGGTTGCAGCAGGGTCTGGTCAGGCTAAAACCAAGAGTTTGCAACTCCATCCGGGTCTCCAAAGTGGGTGGCAGGGGCCCAAATACTCAGGCCATCTTCCACTGCTTTCCCAGCAGCATTAACAGGGAACTAGATCGGAGGTGGAGCAGCTTGGGACTCAAACCGGCACTCGTGTGGGATGCTGGCATCACAGGTGTCAGCTTACCCTGCCGTGCCACATGCTGGCCCCCATTTTATTTATTTGGAAGACAGAGAGACAAACATAAATAGAGGTCTTCCATCTGCTGGTTCACTCCCCAAATGGCCACAATGGCTGGAGCTGGACTGATTCAAAGCCAGGAGCCAGGAGCTTCTTCCAGGCCTCCCACTCGGGTGCAGGGGCCCAAGGACTTGGGCCATCTTCTACTGCTTTCCCAGGCCATAGCAGAGAGCTGGATCAGGAGAGGAACACCTGGGACTAGAACCGGTGCCCGTAGGGTATTTCGACGCCATAGGCGGAGGCTTAACCTACCACATGGCAGCGCCTGCCCCATATTTTAAGGCTTTGTAAATCACAAACATCTCTGGGCAGTGCTGTGGGTCTCAGACTAAGAGAACGCTGGAGGGAGAAGTGGCAGGGCTTAAAGCTCAAAAGCGCTTACCACATGTAAGATGTGAGGACATTGGCCAGGCGTTCTGTGTCTTAAAAGATATCTATCTATCTATTTATTTATCTATCTGTTTTTTATTTGAGAGATAGAGAGACAGAAAGACAGACAGAAAGCTCCCATCTGCTACTTCATTACCGAAATGCCTGAAAAAGCCAGGGCTGGGCCAGGCCAAAGTCAGGAGCTGGGATCTCAATCTAGGTCTTCTCCCACGTGGGTGGCAGGAACCCAAGTA